AGGGAGACGCAATCTGAAGCAGGCTTCAGGCTCTGAGCTGTCAGCACAGAGCCCGATGCGGGGCTCAAACCCATGAACCATGAGACCATGACCTGAGCTGAAGTCGGACGCTTACCGACTGAGCCACCCAGGCGCCCCAGCATGGTATATTTTTATCCATCTGTTTACATTTAACGTATATATGTCTTTATATTTAAACAGCATACTGTTGTATCTTGTTTTTTGATCCACTCTGACAATGTATCTTTTAATTGTTGCATTTAGCCTTTTGCCATTTTTAAAGGATTTTTGATGTTTGTATTAGTATCTGCCATATTCATTACTTTTTTTGTTTGTTGCCCTTGTTCTTTGTTTCCATTTTTGTTTCCCTCTTTTTCTGCCATTTGTTATTTTAATTGAGCATTTTATATGATCTCATTTTCTCTCCTTACTTAGCTTATCAGTTTTACTTCTTTTTTTACTTGTTTTAAGTGGTTGCTCTAGAGTTTGCAGTTCTATTTACATTAGTCCAAGTCTACTTTCAAATGATAATATGCCACGTCACAGGTAGTGTGAGTACCTTATAATGAAATAATACTAATTTCTTCCTCCTGTCCCTTGTATCATTGCTGTCAATCCTTTCACTTATTTATAAGCCTACAGAAGTATATAACTTTATATATATATAATTATACATATATGATAGGTACATAAGCATACCTAATTGAATACATTGTTGCTTTTCTTATTTTGAAGAAAATGTTATACGTTAGATCAGTTAAGAATATGAAAAATCAAGTTTTTATTGTAATGTCACTTACTCCTTCTTCACTGTTTTACCTTTCTTTATATAGATCCAAGTTTTGGGCCTATATTAATTTTTTCTTTTAACATTTCTTGCAAGGCAGGTCCGTGGTAATAAAGTCCCCCTACTTTTATTTGAGAATGTCTTTATTTCTCATTCATTTGTTAAAGGGTAATTTCAAGAATACAAAATAAGGGGTTGGTGGTTTTTTTCTCTCAATGCGCTCTTCTTTATGGTTTTGGAGAAGTTGGATGTAATTCTTCTTACCTTTGTTCGCTATAGGTAAGGTGTTTTTTCCTTTGGCTTCTGTCAAGATTTTTTCTTTATCTTTGATTTTCTGTAACTTAAAAGTGATATGCCTAGGTGTGTTTTTTTAGGCATTTATCCTGTTTGTGTTCTCTTGAGCTTTCTTGATCTGTGCTTTGATGTTCGGTGTTAATTTAGGGAAATTCCTTAGTTATTTTGGTTTCAGACATTTCTTCTGTTACTTTGTTCTCCTTCTGGTATGTTCATTACCATATGTTACTGTATATTGCATCTTTTGTAGTTGTCCCACAGTTCTTAGATAGTCTGTTCTTTTTACATCCTTTTCTCTTTGCTTTTTGGGTTTGGGGGATTTTACTGATATATCCTCTATCTTAGAGATTATTTCATCAGCTTTGTCAAGTGTACTAATAAGGTCATGAAATGTATTGTTTCTGTTACAGTGTTTTTTACCCATAGCATTTTCTTGAAGTTCTTTCTTATGATTTCCATCTCTGTACTTACATTGCCCATTTGTTCTTATATGCTTTTTACTTTATTCTTTAGAGTCCTTAGCATATTAATTGTAGATGTTTTAAATTCCCAGTCTGATCATTCCAGCGTCTCTTCCATGTCCGGTTCTGTTCTGTTTCTTCACATCGTGTTTTGCCTTTTGGTGTGCCTTGTAAGTTTTTCTTGATAACCAGATATGGTATTTTAGTTAAAGGAACTGCTGTAAATAAGCTCTTAGTAATGTTGTCAGGTGTTGGGGAAAGGCAAGTGTACTGTATTCTATGAATAGCCCTCAGTGTTTTAGTGAGCCTGTGCCTCTAGACTGTGAGCCTCACAAGTGTTTCTCGTTTTTTTTCTCCCTGCTAGGTGGGATAGAATGGTTAGAGTGAGCTGGAGTTGGTTTGGCTTCCCCAGGCTAGTTAAGCTTTGGTAGTAGTACCCCAGCAGGTTAGGATTTGTCTAACTAGTTACTCCTGAAGGACCTTATTAAGAACAGAGTGCTCTGGTGTATTTCAAGATGGTTCCTTTCCCCTTCTCTTGCTGGAAACCCAAGGGTATTTTTCTCTGACATTTACCATGCGAACCTGATGGAACTCCTAGAGGTAAATCTTAACAAATATTGCAGGAGCCCCCGTATGACTGGGTGCCTCTGGAGTTTTTAACTCTGGAAGTTGGCTACACGGAGCCTCCAACAATTCTTAAATTACGGTTCAGGTTTTACTGCCTTGACACTGGTTCGTCTGGCAGTTTCTGCTCGTGAGTCTCTGCTCTGGTAAGCTGCAGCTCTCTGCATGCACTTGTTGGTCTCAGGCCTTGAGGGTAGCAGTTTGCCCTGTGCCCTCCTGTCTCTTATGGAGCCAAGAAGAGTTGTTGGTTTTTCAGTCTGTTGAGCTTTGTACTTAATACATTGGAGTGGTGATTTCTGAGTTCCTTACAGAACCAGAAAACTACTTGTAGTTTTAAAAAGTAAATAACTATGTTGTTGGTATATCTTGAAATTTTAATTTGTGATATGTGTTTTTATGTATTTCTCTAGAGCTGAAAATTAGAAAATGTGTAGTTCACAGCAAATGTTCTGATAAAACTTTATTCAATTGAGTATATAGATTCTAATTATTTTTCATGAAGCACCAGAATCTTTAGATTATTTATGTAATGTGTGTATATATGATTAAATGTTCAGAGGTTACTATATATACAGCTAAAAGATTATTTTTTGAATTATTTTCTTAAGTTACTGTTTTTATCTTCATTCAGTATTATAAACACTCCAATTCATTCTTTTTATCCAGGTTGAAGATTGTAAAAATTTCTTTTAAGTGCAAACAGTTTTTTATTCAACTTAGAAAAGAATTGGTGAGTGATGATCTTAATGATTATTAATATAAATGAATATATTTATAAAACTATTTGTATAAATATAAATAACATTTATATAAACAAATAGTATTTATATAAGTGAAGTCTTCAGAAATGAAGTCATTCGTGGCCAGACTCTCAGTGTGAGGTTGATAACTGCCCACCGATTTAGTTAATTCACATTTTATGACAGTGTTTATTTCCCCAGTGTTACTGTGGTTCTGATTTAAAAAGTTCTTCTAAATAACCATTCTGCTCTCTTTTGAACTTTGAAACTGATCTCAATTGTGATGTTCATTGTCAGTTGCCAGGGTCTAGTCATGAAGGTGGTAACTGAGCATTTTATATGTTCTTCTTCTTCTTCTTTTTTTTTTTTTTTTTAACTGATCTACAACACTTTCTTTCGTATATATGCTCATTTCATTTTAGGGAAACTGAGTGTTTAGTTTTGTTTCTAGTTCATGAGTGTATAGTACATTTCCTCCCTTTGTGTGAATGGTGGTGTCCTTTTGTATATTAAATACAACACATTGAGTTGTTATGGGAAAGAATTTCATCTTGCAAATGATTTTCTCTATTTAACCAAGTTAAACTAATTTTATCCTTTGACTTAAATTATTTCTTACAAATTGTAACAAATTAATGCAGATTTCAAGGGAGTTGTGTGTGTGTGTAAAATGTATTTGAAATCTTAAAAATATTTGAATCAACTGTATTTTATCAGCAACTATGATTTCCCTTTTATCCTCACAAAATATGAAAGTTTTTTTCTATAGAGTTTTATTGAAACACACAGAAAAGTGTATAAATATTAAGTATAGTGTTTGGTAAGTATGTAATAATATATCATGTTAATATGTAGAATGTTACTGTCACCTTGGTTTTATTGCTGATGGATCTGATGCTCACTTGCTGTCATTAACCTTTCTGAAAGGTAAATACTGATCACCATGGATTAGTTTGCCTATTTTTGAACTTTAAAAAATGAATCATACATAATGTTCTCCTGTTGTGTACCTTCTAACCTTAACATTATGAGATTCATCCATATTGTTGCACATAGCAGTACTTTGTTCTGTTGCTACATGGTGTTCCGTTGATTGAATATACCATAAATTATTTATTCTTATGTTAGTGGATACTTTTGGCATTTCCAGGTTGTGTCTATTACAACTAATGCTGCTAATGAACATTTTTGTATACGTTTCAAATCTTATCTGGAAGCCTCTACTTCTCTAAAATACTTTACTTTAAATCATTATATTGGTAGAAGGCAATGTAGAAGTCAACTTTCTAATTTTTTCCCATTAATAGTACTATTGTTACTACTAATAGTAGTTGTGGTATTTAACATTTATTGAGGTCTTACTCTGTGTCTGATAATCACACAATCATTTTCATAGCATTTAATCCTCAAACCATTCTGTGAGGTAGTATATCATTTAGGAATGTGTTTAGCCACAGATATTATCAACAAAAGTCATCTAACAACTGATCTGAGACTGTATATGGTTGTAGTCTGTAGAATGTCGTTTTGTTAATGTTTTCTCTCAGGAACATCTTTTTAAATACCCACACTTTATAGAAACTACTTATCTCTTAATACAACATTTTATGTCTATTGTTTACAAAATGTGGATTTTATTATAATTTATTATATTTTTTATTTATTTAATAATTTTAAATAAATTTATTTATTTAATATTTTTTATTTAATATATTTAAATAATTTAATATAATTTAATATATATACGATAAATAGATTTTATATATATTTATATATATAAATATATATAAATATAAATATATAATATATGTAAATATAAAATATATATTTATGAAAAATATGTTAAAATATAAATATATATATTTATATACATATATATTAAACATATATTAATAATTTAATATAAATATTTAAATAAATATAAAATTTATTTAAATTTATTATAATTTATTACAGATTGTACCAAGTACAATTGGTAGAAAGCCAGAATCACACATAGACTTTTTGACGTATGCAAAGTGTCGCGTACCATAAATGATTCTTAGATGTTGCTTCTGCAGAGTATTGCTGTGTAATGCTCTGTGTGAGACCTAATCAATATTCATGGCATATGGTACAGCATGTAAACTACTTGTTAGTGCATACAAAGCCACTCTAAGAAGTTAAAAATTTTTTGGTGATCAAGAAGTGGTATTTTAAGCATATTATCTTCTAAAATAATAGTTTAATATTTACTTTTTTTTAATGTTTATTTTTGAGAGAGAGAGAGATAGAGCGTGAATGGTAGAATACAGAGAGAGAGGGAGACACAGAATCCGAAGCAGGCTCCAGGCTCCGAGCTGTCAGCACAGAGCCCGACGTGGGGCTCGAACTCATAGACCGTGAGATCATGACCTGAGCCGAAGTCAGCCGCTCAACCGACTAAGCCACCCAGGCACCCCAGTAGTTTAATATTTATATGTGGGCATCTTACTATATTTTAGTTATGGAAATGCTATCATACCTTTTGATAGGCAAACATTTCTTTAACAAGGCATAGAAAACCTTAAAAGATCAGTAACTTGGACTGTGTTAAAATTAAGAACTATATTCATCAAAAGATAGCATGAAGGGAGTGAAATAGCACAGTGTATATCTATAATACACACGTACCCACATCCTTGGTTATATATCCAACCCAGTCCAAAGATATGCTACTGACTTGAACAGATACTTCAGAAATGAAGACAGCCATGTGGCCAGTAATGTGAGAAGGTGTTGAACCTCTGTGATCATCAGGGGAGTACAAATTATAACCAAAATGTGATACTTCTACACATCCACAGGAATAGTGTAGAGAAGAGATTGATAAGCCAGTGGTTGGTGAGTTAGAGGATATACAGCCGGTGGGAGGGAGTATATATTGATCTGACTGTTTTGGAAAACTGTTGCGCATTATCTACTAAAGATGAACACGCATATCTTATCCAACAACAGAAATGTACACACATGTGCATCAGACCACATACAGGAATATACATAACAATATTTTTATATCCTGAAATGGGAAAAACAAAGTATCTGTCAACAACAAATGGATAAACTGACATATTCATATGATAGAATATTACACAGAATGAAAATTACTGTTTCATAACCATATGGATGGATATAGAAACAGAATACTAAAAAGAATTCAAACCTTAAGACACATATGTATGATTCCATGTATATAATTTAGTTCAAAAACAGGCATAACTAATCTGTAGTGATAAAAGGCAGAAGAGTGATTACCTTTGCAAAAATAATCTGGTAGAAAGGGGAGATACTTCAGAGTTGCTAGTAATAATCCATTTCTTGTTCTGGTTGGAAGTTAAATGGTTGCATTCATTGTGTGAATACCAGAGCTATACACTTAGAACATGTGTGACTTACTAGATGTAGTTTGCTTCAGTAAAACCATTTAAAAAGTAATTTGTGCCAAACTTTTAGAGAAAAATTAAGGAAATGCTTCTATTATGTTGCTACTTATTTTAAAATTTGAGTTACATAATAGTGTTTATAAGTGCTGAATATTCCTATGTACTTGCAGTCTACACAGATATACAAATTTTGAGATGGTTTTAAAAAGTGTATGTATCTTATAGTTTAATTTATGTTCCAGGATTATATTTTGAAATAGAATTATAGCTAGTAAGCTTTAAAAACAGATATATATCCAATTTTAAACTTATTTGTAGCTATATTGTAAAATAAAAGTTCCTAAGAGTTGTAATATTACTGACTGAGGTGAGGTCCACATTTTGCAAACCTTTCCGTTTATTTTACTGCCTTTTTATTGGATAAACAAAAAAGGGGCTGTGCTACAGGGATTAGTATTTGTAAGGCTAGAATGTTTATCTGTAAAAAGTAAACTAAATGGAGCATTAGATCCTGATGTTTTCCTGGTATTCTCTGCATTTTGTCATTTACTACAGCACGAATCTAGAGAAACGTTACTGGGATTTAATATGGTGAATTACAGAGCATGCAAAAATTTGTGGAAAGCATGTGTAGAACATCACACATTCTTCCGTTTGGACAGACCGCTTCCACCTCAAAAGAACTTTTTTGCACATTATTTTACATTAGGTTCAAAATTCCGGTACTGGTAAGTATTGCTTATGCACTAATGCTTTATTATTGGATTTTTCCTCACTGTAAAATAAGCGTGTATTTTATTGAGTCATAGAATGTTTATTATTTATACACCCTACCGAGTCAGAATCTCTGTGGCGTGTGGCCCCTTTGTCTATATCAGCCAAAAGTTTAAAGGTTCTTGTGCCATATGGGAGAAACCTCTTCCATTGAGTATAATTTTGATCATTATTCTCAAAGGTAAATCAATGATATTTAATTATTTACATTCTAGACATCTATAATTTCCATTATGTCTTTGTTAAACATTTACAAGAAAACTTTTCTTTGTTCTAAGACACCTTTATTTGTAAAAGCAAAGGTATCTTCTGCATGAACATGTAATTTATTGGTTTCCCTCACTATCTAAAAGTAGAATGTCCCTGTAAAACCTTTCATAAGCCAAATGGCATACATGAAGAAGCCATTACCATTAATCTATAATGGTAAACTTTTTTAGCATTCTCAGACCCCCAAAATTACCTCTCACAGGCTTTTCTTTTACCTGAGGACACATCTTGCTATTGAATACACAAAATAAATCAAGATAAAGCACAGATGCTCACAGACACAGTTCAGAGCGTTGGTGGCTTACTGCTGAGATGCTGAGTGTACTCCCTGGGAAGGAACTTGGGGCAGGGGACGGGGGCAGTCTCGCTGCTTGCGGGGTGTGCTGCCTCTTCAGTGGCTCGCTGCAGAACAGATGCTGAGTGCTGGGTTTTCCTTATATTGTACAAGCATAGTGGCGTGACACAGGCTTACAAAAAGCAGGGGATACCTGTACTTTGCTTTTTTATGTATGAGTTTGTTGAACCCTTTATTATAAAGAGTTCAAAACAGCTGTTCTGCAAAAATTACATTTAGTCATTGAACAATAACCCCAAATTTCTTTTCCTAAAACTGTCTGATTACTATTTTATCTTTTCCTAAAAGAAACAGTCTTTGGGAGATAATTCTAAATTTGGAGAAATTCTGATTAATTTTGCCTCTGGAATTCTTACAAGACTCAGGAAAGCTAGTTTTTAAGTGCAGCCTGGTAAGAATCAGGTAGAAAAAGTCATTCGTAATCTCTGCTAAAACAAGTGTTATCCATTTTTGTTTCTGCTTCATAAATAATATTTTCCATCTTCAGTAAATAAAACCTTTCATCATTACGTGTTAGATTAATTCATGTTATATATTCATGCAGAAAATATTTAGATGTGGTACAAAAAAGATTTGTATTGTAAATCTCAGAATTTATAAATGCCAGTTTGTAATCTCAGAAAAAATAATAGCATAAAGCTTAGTACAGGATATACTATTAAAAATATATTCTCCCCCGTCCCCAGAGCAACCCCCAAATTCAGTAGCAACACTTAAACAGAATTAGGAAATTTTTAGCTACAAAAAAAGGAACAGCAGATTCTTTTTTTTTTAAATTTTTTTTAACATTTTATTTATTTTTGAGACAGACAGAGACAAAGCATGAACGGGGGAGGGGCAGAGAGAGAGGGAGACACAGAATCTGAAGCAGGCTCCAGGCTCTGAGCCATCAGCCCAGAGCCCGACGCGGGGCTCGAACTCACAGACCACGAGATCGTGACCTGAGCTGAAGTCGAACACTTAACCAACTGAGCTATTCAGGCACCCCTCAAATTTTTTAATAGATGTAAAGCAGTTCAGGTTTTCTCTTTCTTCTCAGTAAGCTTTGGTAGTTCATGTTTTTCAAGGAATTTATCTGTTTTCTCTAAGTTGTTGAATTTTTGGCATAAAGTTTATAGTATTCTTTTTAATATCTCTAGAGTCTGTAGTAATATCATTTCTTTCATTCTTGATTTTGGTAACTTGTACCTTCTCTCTTCTCTTTCCTTGATCTGTCTTTGCTAGAGGTTTATCAGTTTGGATTAAAAACTCTTAGGGCACCTGGGTAGCTCAGTCGGTTAAGCATTTGACTCTTGATTTTGGCTCCGGTCAATGATCCCGGGGGGTCGTGGGATAGAGCCTGGGATTGGGCTCTGTGCTGAGTGTGGAGCCTGCTTAAGATTCTTTTTCTCTCTATCTCACCCTCTGACTTTCTTCCCCACCTGACTTACACATGCTTTCTCTCTCTCTCTCTCTCTAAAAGAAATAGAAAACAAAAAACTTTTAAACATTGTTAATGCCAAATAAAACTTTATTCAGGCTTATGTGTAGCTGGGAGTCACCCTTTGTCTACCATGTCTTCAAGGAAAAAAAAGTGACTGAAAAATCTTAAACTTACCAGTTTGCCATTCAAGTCTAAAGTCAGTAAACATTATCAAATATACAAAACCTCAGGGAATAGAACATCTGTGAGTCCATCTAAAAAATAATGCTTTTTTAGGGGCTCCTGGGTGGCTCAGTCAGTTAAACATCCGACTTTGGCTCACGTCATGATCTAGCGCTCTGTGAGTTCAAGCCCTGCATCGGGCTCTGTGCTGACAGCTCAGAGCCTGGAGCCTGCTTTGGATTCTGTGACTCCTCCCCTCTCTCTGCCCCTCCCCTGCTCATGCTCTGTCTCTCTCTGTCTCTCAAAAAATAAATAAATGTTAAAAAAAATTTTTTTTTTAAATAATGCTTTTTATTTTTATTTTTATTATTATTTTTTTTTAATTTTATTTTTGGGACAGAGAGAGACAGAGCATGAACGGGGGAGGGGCAGAGAGAGAGGGAGACACAGAATCGGAAACAGCCTCCAGGCTCTGAGCCATCAGCCCAGAGCCTGACGCGGGGCTCGAACTCAACGGACCGCGAGATCGTGACCTGGCTGAAGTCGGACGCTTAACCGACTGCGCCACCCAGGCGCCCCTAAATAATGCTTTTTAAAAAGATTTTATTTTTGGGTGATCTCTACCCCCAATGTGGGGCTGTAACTCACAGCCCTGATATCAAGAGTCACAAGCTCCTCTGACTAAGCCAGCCAGGTGCCCTCTAAAAATGTTTTAATAATAAAATTAACCCACAAGAGATAAGTCAACATGACTCAAGAAGAATCTTGGTAAAAGAACTAAGAATGAAGCTTAAGTCCTTTAAATATAGACCTAATAATCCTTGACAACTGTCAGAATTATGACTATAGAACAGAATTAAAATGCTATAAACTTTGATAAAGTGAAAATAACAATAGAACTAAGAAAACAAGAGAGTAGTCGAAGTACAAGAAACCATGTTAGCAAAAATTAAATGGTAAAAACACCAACTCCTTAAGCTTGTCCTGGTCTGTCTTTCTTACCATATATATACATGTATTTATGAGTGGCAATCTTTTTCTTCTTTCAGTTCGAGGGAAATTAGTTTAATACTGTTTTCATGAAAAGTGGCGTATATCGCATAATCACACAGTTAATAGAATTATGTCCATTTTTATAGCATTTTCTACATATATAGAGAGTTTTAGAATGATTTTTACCACTCATAATGGAGATTATTTCTTAGGGATAAGACTGGCTAAATTTTTTTTAAAAATCTTTTTGTTATGCTTTTCTGTATTGCTGAAATTACCTATAATGAGCCTGTATTCTCTTACCAATCGGCATTTTCTCATTGTTTAAAGATAACTGTCCTGCTGTCAGAATTTGGTATTCTTAGATTATGGTATATTCATGTTGTTCTAGTAATAATACTAAACTCCTAATGAACCATATTATGGATAATATAAAATATAAACCTTTAATTGCTCCATCGTATTTCAATTTTTTAAAAAGTTTTATTTCTTTAAGTAATCCCTACACCCCATGTGGGGCTCAAACTCATGACCCTGAGATCAAAAGTCACATGCCTTTTTGACTGATACAGCCAGGCCCCCCCCATATTTCAGTTTTATCTTTATGGTTTTATTATGAAATTCAAGTTGTTAATCCAGCCTTTTGAGTAATAGTGTCTCATTTGAGTCCTCTTCGGTGGTAAATTAATGTATCAGGGAAACAGAAAGTCTTTTTGATTTTTCTAATAAAAGCAATTTAATTAAGGGAGTTGGTTACACAGGTATTAGGCTGGCAAAGCAAAAGTGAAAGAGGGTTATAGTGAAGTAACCAGGAGGAATGGATAATGCTTAAAGATCAGAAGCTTGTGTTACCTCTAGGCTGGAGTCCATAAGCCTAGACCTGCTACTCCACTGTTAGAACCACTGTCACAGTCAGTTCTGGATCTGCCCAATAGGTGCTGCTTTGACCAGGGGTGGTATATAACATTGACAAGGTGTGATTTCTCTTAGTGTCCTATTCCCACTTCTGTTACAGCAGCTACCAGCATTTGTCAGTCTCCAGCTTTTGACTTACATTTACTTTTTTTCTGATGGGAGATCAGAAAGTAGAGTAAGAGAAAGCCAGCTTACAAAGGAATCTAGAAAATAGTTTGCTGACTGGGAGCCTCCTATGAAACTTAGTGGATCATGGAAGAACAGGATTGAAGCCCATGACAGCTCAGTTAACATTAAATTAAATTAGTGTGTATAAGTAAACCATACATGTTTATAGTTGTAAAAGTTAAGTTTTGTTTGTAGTCCTTTCAGACTTTAAAAAATATATCTAAAGCACTTTAAAAAATTTTTTTTAATGTTTTATTTATTTTTGACAGAGAGAGAGAGACAGAGCATGAGCTGGGGAGGGGCAGAGAGAGAGAGGGAGACCCAGAATCCAAAGCAGGCTCCAGGCTCTGAGCTGTCAGCACAGAGCCAGACGTGGGGCTCGAATCCACTAACCGCGAGATCATGACCTGATCTGAAGTCAGATGCTCAACCGACTGAGCCACCCAGGCGCCCCTATCCAAATCACTTTTAAAAAAAATGTTTATTTATTTATTTTGAGGGAGAAAGCACGAGCAGGGGAGGAGCAGAGAGGAAGGAAGAGAAAGAATCCCAAGCAGGCTCCGCTGTATCAGTGCAGAGCCTGACACTGGGCTCAATCCCACGACTCTAAAGCACTTTTTAATCATCAAAATGATCAATAATCTTATGATTGAGGTAGGAATGGCAGCTTGACAGGTGTTTATCTGGACACAGTCCTGTCTATACTGAGTATGCATTAAATAAAGATTTCTGTCTGTCATAATAAACAGTGGTTAGAAATACTAGAACTATTATAATACTTACAATATTGAAATATTATTTAGGCTAAGAGATGGACTTTGGAATATTAAACAATTTATTATTTCCTCCATGAACGTACCCAAACACACATCTTTATTATCTCTGTTCCAAAATATCCAAGGATTAAAATCATTGTTCTAATGCGGAAATAGCAAACAATAATGAACCTCAACTCGTTACCTTGTTCACAATTGCAAGTATAGTTTATCCTTCTTAGAGGAAATATATTTTCTTAAGAAACTTCAACGTACCTAAGTTTAAAAATCATGGTTATGTTTTGGACTTTTCCTTTAAAACATCAACAGATAGGGGCCTCTGGGTGGCTCACTGGGTTAAGTGTCTGACTTCAGCTCAGGTCATGATCTCACGGTTTGTGAGTTCAAGCCTGGTGTGGGACTCTGTGCTGACAGCTCAGAGCCTGGAGCCTGCTTCGGATTCTGTGTCTCCTCTCTCTGTTCCTCCCCTGCTTGCACTCTGTGTGTGTGTCTCTCTCTCAAAAATAAATATTTAAAAAAATTTTTTGAACTTCAACAGATAGACCATTCTGTTCACATTTATCTATACTTATGGAAGATTATCTTAAAATTGTTTGCTTTGCTTTGGAAACCTACGTTTGGCTGCTTTTATATGAATTAGATATCTACAAATGTAAATGGGTCTGTTTGATATACTAGACATTTATGTCTGTTCACACTTAAATAATATGATGTGTCAAGTAGCAAATTCTCTGAAAACCAAGTTTTTAGTAACAAATAAGTTCTGAACACCTTGGTTTACCATAGAGGAGGCTCTATTTCCATGCATAAACTGTGTGCCTGCTAGACAATTCAGCTTCAAGGCAAATTGTAGTGCCCAACTCCCAGTGATTTTTCAGTCCTTAGTTCCTCCCTGTTTATGAAAGTCCGGAGTTGCCTGTGTCTGGACAAGGAAGGATTTGAGAATATAACCAGTCTTTGTATCTGTGATCGTTACCAGTAGACAAGGAAGAAAAGCCCAAGGAAAGAGCAGCTTTTTAAGATTCCCTGTGTTCTCCTTCATTAAGGAGTAGTAGAGATACTAGCTAAACCACAGACCAACCTGTGGGGTGAGAGTGACAGTCATTCTCAAATAAAAGAAGTATCTAAAAATGAAGTGTCTGTGGAACACATGTTTGTTCATTAATTGGAAGAGCTATAAATAAGCTTCATCCATTCAGGTAGAGCTGGAATTCAGTCCATTCATTTCTTCTTCTTCTCTGCTCCCTTTTCTCTGCTACAAATTTGTCTCTTATGAAGTTGTAATATAATCATGTTGTATGTTGTTATTTTATCTTATAATTTTCCTTAAGGTTTTATTATTGTGCATGTTTATGTATTTCAGTGGGAGAACTGAAGTCCAGTCAGTTCAGTATGGCAAAGAAAAAGCAAATAAAGACAGGGTATTTGCAAGGTAAGCTGCCTCTATTTCAGTGTTTGAATTTTTTTAAAAGAAAGATTAAAATTACTAAAAACTCTTTTTCCAGATGTGATTACAGGATTATCACATGATCCTTTATTTAATTAAACAATAAATTATGTTGAGGGAGTAATGAAATAATTTGTCTAGTTTATTCATTGCCCCCCCCCCCACATTATTTTAATGTGAGCTAAATTAACCCTGTATCAAACATTGTAGTTCTGACCAGGCTGAATCAAATACTACGTTATTCATGTAACATATTTGGGAAAGTTTATTTCCTTTATTTTTTTAACATTTTTGAAAAACATAATGATTAATTTCATGTATTATTCAGCCCATTTCCATTTTTTTTACATCATCTTGTTGAGAAAAGTTAATTTTGGGGGAGTGCCATTTAGTTATCTTCATATTTTTAGGAGCTATTGTTTTCAAGCAAGTTGAAACAACATGATGAAGTTTATGTTTTAGAAAATAGTTTTATGAGTAATGATGGAGAATGGATTGGAAGTAAGGACCCAGTGCTAAGAGACCAATTAGGTTATTGCAGTAATCCCAGTGAAAATAATGAAGGCCTGACCTAAAACATTGGTGATGAAATGGAGACTAGGGGCCAAATTTGAGGAATATTTTGCAGGTAGAACTAACAGAAGTTGTTAAATCATTTAGATGGAGGTGTGTTAGAGATAGGAGTATCTGGAGAGACCGTCAGATTTGAGTGACAGAAATGGACAAAGGGATACAAGAAAGAGAACAGATTTGTAACGGAAAAAGTAGTGAACCTGGCACAAGTCTCGTTTGAGATCCGTGAGCAGCAGTCTAACAGGATTATCCAATAAGTGGGAGGGAGGAGGAGTGACCAAATCGGTGGCAGCAAATATTTATTGAGGACCTACTCTTATGAGCGTGTGTCAGGTTCTGGGAATAGAATGAAGAACGGGACACACGTCTTAGCCCCCTGGAGCTTAAATTCTGATTGGTGCAACAGATATCTAATGCAAGTAACGGATTGAGCCAGTGCAAGGCTGTGGAGCTGGAGCCTGCTTGTCATGTTTGAGGAAGAGTAGGCAGGCCAGTAAGGGAGCAGCAGTAGAGAACATGTTAGGGAGGTAAGCAGCAGCCAGAACTTGTATGACCCCATGTTCAAAATAGTAAGGACTTTGCATTTAAGGGAAAGCCAGTGGGGACTGAGAGCATTGAAGAGATATAAAGGGACTTGGACTTTTAAGAGTCTGGCAGAGTTGTTTTGTTTTATAGTGGTACTCTGAAGTATTTACAAATACCGTGATTTCTAGGATTTGCTTCAGAATCATTGGGGTGAGAGGGTTCAGGTAAATGTAGGGACAAATGAAACAAGGTTGACCGTAATGATAATTGTTGAACCTGGGTCCTGAATGCAGTGTTTATTAAATTATTCACTCTACTTTTGTTTATATTTAAAGTGTTCCATAGTAAAATATGGGGGGTTAGGGGATCACTCTGGCTGCTGTGAGAGAATCCGTTGTATGGGCATGTAAGTGGAAAGAGGATAACCAGTTAACCTAAGAGTGGCTTAGGTTTATTTTGTATTTATCTGGGCCAGAGAATTTTTGTGTATTATCTCACAGTCCCCATAGTTCAGTGAGGTAAATCCCATTACAAATGAGAAAACTGAGCACAGCACATTTGAATAATTTACCTGAAGTATTAAGGGATTCTCACACAGGCCTCCCTGTTCTTAGCCACACTTTTACCCTCTACAGAATAGGTTTGCTGTTCTGCATGAGATAGGTGAACGCTTGGCTGCTCTGTCTCAGAGATGTGAGAGACGACCTTTATTGTCTGTCTCCCCCACTAGAATGCAGGCTATATGAGGGTGGGAGTTTTATCTGTTTTTTTCACTGCACTAGACCCAGCTCTTTTAATAATGTGTGCAGTATGGTAGATGACTTTTAAATGAGGCATGTTTTTTCAGTGGAAATGGCTTACAGAGGATAAGTCCTTAAAGAGTTCATGTGTTTGGTATCTCCTGTCATAGGAGGCATAAGAGTTTTAATAAATTTTAATGAGAAATTTTTGCTTTGGCTTTTATTTTAATTTTACCTTTAGCCTTTATCAAAAAGACCTTCCTGTTTTGTGTTTCTAGAGTAAAAGGAGTTTTTGGTTTTTTTCTTTTCTCCAAAAGTAAAAATTGTTTTATTGTTTTTTTTCTGCTCATATAAGTGATACTTCATTATTTGTTAAAATTCCAAATGCCAGTAATTTTACCTGGCAGGGGAGATAACCACGATCGCAGAGATGGTTCTCTCCAGGAGAGGCTTGTCCATTGTGCTCAGGCCATTCTGATTCCTGCGGTTCCCCCAAACGTGGGAAACTCAACCGTGTTCGAGGTTTCCCCTGTCTAAAATAAAGAAAAGAAAAATAAATAAATTAAAATTCCAACATGCCAAATAACATAAAAAAAATTATGACGCAATACAATTACGTTAAATAATTTTTGGTACTTACTATTTAAGGTTTTGCCATGTGTATACTCACAGATATGTATCTGTATATATCTGACAAGGCTGAATCAAATATTACTACATATATATATATAAAATATAAATAGCTTACTCTTTGCCAGTACTGTGCCCTGAGTGCTTAAACAAATGAGTAAGTTCCTTGGAGTAAGGACATTTGAAACAAAAAATTATTAAAACACGATTTTTATGTGTTTGAATAATAAAATTAACTTGCTTTTTTATCCGCCCCCCCCCCTTCCATTCCTGGCTTACCCCCATCCTCTTTTGTGTGTGAATGATCTACTCAACAGGAAAACTGTCTGAAAATGCCTTGAAGGATTTAGCTGGTCAGGGTTATATAGCATTTTGCTGTCATACATTTACTTGAATTTGAATGATGTAGTTTATCTCAACATTTGTTCAATATTTTGAATTTGATTTATTGTTATATCTTGTTTTTTAGGTTTATGAGGGAAATATTGTCATTTTTCTATTAAATATAAATCTTAGTGTCATATTAATGGCTATTTGGTTACTTGGTTATTTGGGAAGGGCAAAAAGAACAAAATAAGAACAAAGATGCCTACTGTAATAGACATGGCTACTGAAATTATTCAGAATCCTCGCTCTTACAGTCTTAGATACCCTTGTTTCCAGTTAGAAAGTTCTAAGCACCAGTATGAAGGTAAAATGTACAGAAAGTCCTTTTGAAATTATTTTCCTTGAAATTTCTCAAGAATAAAATAATTTACTTCCTATTAACTTCGTTGTTTTCATTTAAAATGTATCTTTCGCTTAGTACTACGACTTATTGCACCACTCCCTCAGACTTGTTAAAATCAAAGCAAATATTTTTCTGATTCTTTTCTCTTAAAAATGCACCTAACAAGGGACTCCTGGGTGGCTCGGTCGGTTGAGCGGCTGACTTCAGCTCAGGTCGTGATCTCACAGCTTGTGGGTTCAAGCCCCGCGTCAGGCTCTGTGCTGACAGCTCAGAACCTGGAGCCTGCTTCGGATTCTGTTTCCCTCTCTCTTTGCCCCTCGCCCACTCGTACTCTGCCTCTCTCTCTCTCAAAAGTAAATGAAACATTAAAAAAAATTTTTTTTAATGCACATAACAAAATTCTTAGCTTTTTTCTTCTTTTCCTTGCAAGAAGCTTGAATTTTTTCTTGCTTGATATTTATAAAAATAGTGAACACAGTTTGATAACTAGGTCTACTGTAGTATGATATCCTGATATGAATATCAAATTATACATGTACTTACATATTAATATTATTATCACATGCAAAGTACTTTCTTTATAAGTGTTAATGTTTGAATATCTTGATCATGTGTGACTTTGAGAAATATGCACAATTATACCTGCATCCTAGCTCTTCATTTTGTATGTGCATTATTAAAATGGAAAATTGTAATAGGTTATTTTATGAAACAAATATGCGTTATTTAAGGAATAGTAGAGCTAAAATTCCAATATAAGAAGTCCTAAATATCTGTCCCATATCATTTGTTATGTGGAATTCTATGAATCTTCCTTAAAATAAGTCCTTAGCAGGGACAAAGTTTTGTTTAGTGTTTATGACCCTTCCATCTCCAAAAGTCTAAGGCTTGTTTTTATAATATATCACAGCCTCACTGTGATGACCTGATGCATATCTACCAAAAAACTCTGATGGTTTTAGCAGTTATTAAGTTATTCTGTTAAAGTATTAGAGAATTCTGGAGTTCTTATCCACTTCTTAGAATTTTAGTTGGTGGTGTATAAATAGAACAGATTTCTTCTTCAACTTTTCATGTAAGGTCACTTTTTTCAGCAGTGATGAATATGTTAATTTTTTTTCCCAGTCGCTCAACTCTTTTCATTGCTTTCACACTGTTTTAATTGTCATATAATACCTAAGAAGAAAGCAAAAGAATGTTCACGTGTAACAGAAAAATAAAGTGCCATGGTCAGAAAATATATTTACCACATTGCAAACACACTGATGAAGTGTGGTATTTTTTTCTCTGAAATTTCCACACTCAACAGGAAACATAGACAGCAAGCTTGAGTGGGTGGGTCTCTGAGGTTAAAGCTGTTAATAAAATTCTTGAAATTTAGTTTTAAGCGCAGAGCATTTCCAACCATGTTTAGTTTATTAACAACAGTTAAGTGTTCTGACGCTTTATACTACTAGGTGAGTATAATTGGATTTTTTCGTCTTCAAATGACTTTTTCCCTCTCTTCAAAAATGAAAGTAGTCAATCTAACTGTAGTTATGCAGTCTTACAGCTGACATTTAGTAGTCTAATATATGAGAAAGAATAGCTTATTAACTCTTGAGAGTTAACATTAATACAAGAGCAATAATTCTAGGGTTTCTTTTGATAATCTTCATTTTAAAAATCAAATGTATGAAATACCATCGCTTTTTTTTTTCCATCTTATTCTGACTAATAGGAATATTAGTTTGCATGGCACTATTAGGAGATTGGACTAAATGGTGTCCTGTGTTGTCTTCAAATAAGAAAAGCCTATAATTTGAATTCATTTATGAAAAACTAAATCTGAGTCAGTGCCTATTTTTAAATCAATAACATTACATCTCTCTTACGAAATGTTCTAAGTTCTTAAATTAAGGAAATGTCATTAAGCCAAACTAAAAAAGGTTTGGGCTATGAATATACGAAATGAGGCACTTGTGTGGTTTGGATTCGTAAGTAATTTAAGTTACTTGTGGTTTCATAAAATTAATAAACTAAAACATTGCACTGAAAATTTAGATACTCATAAATTATAAAATGCAGGATGTAGGGGAGGACCTAGGTTCATACATTATACTGGTAAATTTCAATATTTAGACATAGATACTTAACTGATTTGACTTATAGAAGGTTAAAACGAGGACCCTCCACTCATCATTTTAATACTTCCTACTGTGTCTGTAAATTTTATTAAATATTCTTGGTACGTGTAATGTGCTTTTTAGTCTATTCTGTATCTATGTGCTTCAGTGAATTTATTGCAATATAAAACTATCAGCTTGCAAGATCGTTTATTATGTGTTTTTATGTAAGTAGCTTACTTCCGTATATTAACCTTCGTATTAACTGTGCATGTCAAAAAAACTAGGTATTTAAGTAGATGTCATATATATTTCCATGAATTTTGGCCATTATCTGAATTTGAACATAAAAAAGACTTTAGTTGTTAACTTACCTAAATTCTAAAGATTTCTGATCTCTGCAAACTTCAGTATCTTTTCTGAAAAGATTACTTAGGTTTCATCTTTATTACAATGATAGCTGACAATATATAGATAGGCAATAAACATAGTCTTCTACTCCCTCCCATGAGACAGAATAGTTAACCTTCTAAATGATGTTTTTTGGAAAAACAAAACAAAGAAAAAAAAAATCCACTGTCCTATTATGAATAAAATGGAAAAAATACATAATTATCCTTTTTGCCATGTCCTCTGTTGAGGCAGAGGATCAGGGTTTGGGTTTAAGATTTAAGGATATTCAGGAGATAATATGCTAGCAGTTGTTTAATATATCACAAGATGACTTAGAATTTCAGAAACTCTGGAATAGTCAATATTTATAGTATTCATATATGAGATAACTTGGTAGCCAACTGTTCCTTTGCTTTTTTCTTTTCTTCCTTTCTTCCTTTTCTTGTTTCTTCTCTTTTTCTCCTCTTTTCTCCTCTCTCTCCTCTTTCCTTTCTTCCTCTTTCTTTCCTATTCTCTCTTCTACTCTTAGCGTGTCTTTCCTTCCTTCTTCATACAAAGCAGATGTAATTTCTTAGGAAATTATGAGGTATATAGCCGCCAAATGCATTAATTTCATTTAAGTAAACTATTTTTATTCATCTAGAATATGACAAATTCTAAGATTTGGTTTATAGTTGGAGGTATAAAAATGTTTACATACTAAATTATTTCTGCAGATCCCCAAGTAAGCCCTTGGCACGGAAATTAATGGATTGGGAAGTAGTAAGCAGAAACTCAATATCTGATGACAGGTTAGAAACACAAAGCCTTCCATCGCGATCTCCACCTGGAACTCCTAATCAGTAAGTACAGACTGACATCAGGTGTACATGTTGCTAATTTCTAAATTATTGACTGTGTTATTTCCATTGCCCAAAGATCGAAATATGTAAATCTTTACCTTTAAATCTTTTAGCCAGACATGATTTTTGTTGCTCCAGAGCATTATTTCCTCATAGCCTGCAGCTTATTGCATAAATGGCCTGGAAAAGCCTCAGTGAATGAGGGAGTAGAACATTGAACAAGGATGTTCACTATCCTATACAGTATGGGTCTCTAGCTAATAAATCAAGATCTATTAGTAGACTTGAAATCTGGAAATAATGGTTATTACTGGCATAATCCTTTTTTATTGGCTCTCAAGCAGAATTTCTAGGGGAGCATATATTCTTTGAAAATGCTAAATGATTGTGATTATCTTACTTTATCTCTTACCCCAACCACTGTTTCACCACTTTCTGTGGTCTAGAAAAAGGGGTTTCCAACGTAAGCTCCCACAAGCTTAGCTATATCTATGCTAAGAAGCCTGTGTTACTCAGCACTTACTGTTTATATACTTCTATTATTTCCTACCAAAACTGTATGCTTTGATATAGATAATAGTAAGATAATCAGCTCGTACTGGCCAAAGTTGTTAATTTTATAATGTGTTAACAAATGTGTTGAATATATGGATGTAACTAAATAATGATAAACACATCTCAGTATGTTCACAGACCTTGTTCAACCAAAAGGTTTAATACAAAATACTTGAATTTTTGTATGGAATATAATATTTGAAGAAGTCTAACTTTAGAAATATTTTATACACATTAATATCCAATAAGTGTGTAGTAAATTCTAGAAGTTGTGTCACCGATGGGTGTTTGTCAGCCCAAGAATAAACTTCTACCATATTGAAAGTAAAGTATGTGTATAAATAGTTTGGTTCAGGGAACATTATCTCATACTTTAGTGTCTTCCTTTTTTTCTTTTAATGTTTATTTCTTTTTGGGAGAGAGAGAGAGAGAGAGAGAGAGAGCATGAGCAGGGGAGGGGCAGAGATAGAAGAAGACAGAGGATCCGAAGCAGGCTCCACGCTGACAGCAGAGAGCCCAGTTTGGGGCTCAAACTCCCTAACTGTGAGATCGTGACCTGAGCTGGAGTCGGACGGACGCTCATCCAGCTGAGCGCCCCCAGGCACCCCCGCTCAGTGTCTTCCTAAGCTAGAAAAGATAGACTCAAAAGTTTCTGTGTTTCTAATTGCAGATTGCTAAATTATCTCTTTTTATATATATAAAATACTGTATATATTCAGAGGCTAATCAACTGTTTGAAGAAAATTCAGAATCATCTTTTTTGGTCCCTTTTCCAGGCACTCATTTTTCCATTAAAAAAAATTTTTGTTTTAATATTTATTTTTGGAAGAGAGAGAGAGAGAGACAGAGCACCAGCGGGGGAGGGGCAGAGAGAGAGAGAAAGAGAGACACACAGAATCTGAATCAGGCTTCAGGCTCAGAGCTGCAGGCTGTCAGCACAGAGTCTGATGCCAGACTTGAGACTACGAACCGTGAGATCATGACCTGAGCTGAAGTCAGATGCTTAACTGAGCCACTCAGGCACCCCATCCATTTGTTACTAGTACCACTAAATAATTACAGAAAATTGCAGAAAACACAAGAAATTGTGTGACAGAAGACACAGGAAAGATGATTGAGTTAATTAATTAGGAATAGTTCTGATTAAATTTCCTGGTTAACGAAACAATTTTAATTTAATTTCATTTTTTAATGTATATTTTTGAGAGAGAGAGAAAGAGACAGAGTGCAAGCAGAGGAGGGGCAGAGAGAGAGGGAGACAGAGAACCTGAAACAGGCTCCAGGCTCCTAGCTATCAGCACAGAGCCCGATGTGGGGCTCAAACTCACAGACCGTGAGATCATGACGTGAGCTGAAGTCAGATGCTTAATCTACTGAACTACCCAGGCACCCTAATGAAACAATTTTAGATATGATCTGAAAAAGTTTTTTTCTCAATTCTAAAGAGACAGTACAGTGTGATGATTAAGAGCATAGGCCCTAGAGTCACTGTACGTTTGAACTTTGAACAAATTAATCTCTTTGTCCCATTTTTATCTTCTATAAAATTATAATAGCAGTGTCTTTTATGAGGGTTAAATCAGAGAATATATGTAAAATGCTTAGAACAATGCTTAGCACATAATAAGTGTTCAAATGTTAGTTATCATGATTAATAATAGTAATCAAAATAATTCATGTGACTATGTCACTTACAAGGATGGAATTATGTTATTCATTATCTATTTTTAGGAAGTAAAGGAAGTCCCATAAACAGAAACATTTATGAGGATTAAAAGAGAACTCACCAGAAGATATTTCTGAATTATTTATTCTTTCCCTTTATTCTATACAGGCAGACCTTGGAGATATTGCAGGTTTGGTTTCAGACCACTGCAATAAAGCAAGTCAAATGGATTTTTTTGTTTCTTAGTGCATGTAATGTTTACACTAAATGTGCAATAATAGCAATGTCTAAAAAATTAGTGTACATACTTTAAAAAATATTACTAAGAAGTGCTAACCACATTCTAAGTTTTCAGTGAGTCGTTATCACTGCTCACAGTTTACTATAACAAATATAATAATAATGATAAAGTTTGAAATAATGCAAGAATTCCAAAACGTGGTAGACATGAAGTTGTGCAAATGCTGTTGGAGAAATGGCACCAGCCGACTTGCTCGCAAAGTTACTGCAAACCTTCTATTTTTTTTATTTTTTTATTTTTTTTAAATCTTTATTTTTGAGAGAGAGAGAAAGTGCGAGCAGGGGAGGAACAGAGAGAGACAGAGAGAGAGAGAGAGAGAATCCGAAGCATGCTCCAGGCTCTGAGCTGTCAGCACAAAGCACGATGCAGGGCTAACTCATGAACCGTGAGATCATGACCTGAGTCAAAGTCGGACGTTTAACCGACTGAGCCACCCAGGCGCCCCAATTTTTTTTTTTAAAGAAGAAGCATAAAGCAAAGCACAATAAAATGAGGTGTAAATACTGATTAAGACACAAAGTTGTAGTGACTATAGCCTATGTAGACATTAGGTGTAGAGATAACAGATTGAACAGGTAAAATCCTTGCGGCAGTTCGCTGACTGTAGTTCAGATTTTTGACTTCCTATTTGGTGTTCTTTCTGTTTACTTCACACTGTCTTCGTCAGAGTCTTTTCTTAGTCAATATGGTTAGTCATAAAAATACACACTCACTTTCTAATGTAATCATATAAATAAAAAACGGGAAAAATTGAATTAAAGCACATTTTCACTCGATCTTTTTTCCTCTTCATATAGTCGAAATTCTGCATTCACACAAGAGGGAACCCGGTTACGACCGTCTTCAGTTGGTCATTTGGTAGACCATGTGGTTCACACTTCCCCAAGCGAAGTATTTGTGAATCACAGATCTCCATCTTCAACACAAGCTAACAGCATTGTTCTGGAATCATCACCGTAAGACCTTTTTCATTTAGCTTCCTTCTTATAAATTATACTGCCCCAAATTGTTTTATTTGAAATAATCCTGGGAAATTAGGGTGTTTGATATAAGTATTTGTTTACACAATGTATTAACATTTATGTATTTGTAAATGTGCTTATTTGTCCCTGAGAGTTCTTTGTACTCTTCCCAACCAAAACAAACAAACAAAAAACTTTGTTTTCATTGATTCAGTATGTTCTTTAACCTTTGATGCATACACTTAAATATTTGTGCAGATGTAGATGTAGCACTGTGGTCAGGTAGTAAGGTACTAAAAGATAGAGTGTCTTAGTATTATTCAGGAAGGGAACCATAAGAATGAATAGACAATAGAAAATGATGGAAAAATTACTTAGCAAAGGAGAACCAAGTAAGGTGACCATCATACTGAAAATGAGTTGTAGAAAGTATTCACACATCATTTTTAAAATTCATTTTTCTCTCGAATTACATACTGGTACATAAATTCAGCTTCATAATTCAGTATTTATACCCCATCGGTTTAATGTACAATATGTTTACCCTCACATTAATATACAATATCTTGACTTATTGTTTATATTAATGCAAATTAGTCCATATGCAAGTAAAAATTCACATTAAGAATTAGGAAAGAAAAATAAAATTCTTTACAAGAAATGTGGCTTCGTATAAAGATGCATTTATTTAGAATGGAGTGACTATGATCAGGGCTGAAGAAAGGAGAGGTCTGAAAGTGATGGGTGGAAGAGTAAAAGGACTGGTCAGCAAAAGCAGGAGGTGGAACACGTGACAAGGTGCAGGAGCTGGAACACGTGACAAGACGCAGAGGAAGCGATTGTCCTCACTGTCGGGGCAGCCAAGGAAGACTGGCTGAGCCATTAAGACAAGCGGAATTCAGTCTTGGTAACATGTCTTAGTCAAACATTTTGATTGTACGTGTATAGTAAAAAGGTTGGAAGGGTAGGAAAGATATACACTGCACAGTGACACCCGTGGAAAATGAGTTGACAAGAGACAAGATTGATGGAGATTTTGTTTTTGATTGCTTTAAAAATTAGCATTATAAACTTTGATTTTTAGTAAGCATATATTTTCCAATTCTGAAACTTTAAAAAGTACAATAATTAAGAACATGATGGAAATGTTAAGTAATTAAATTTAAAAATGACATACTTTGAGCACATAGAAATAAACCATATAGAGGAATCTCAAAAGCCTGTCTTGTTACAGAACAGTAATACCATTCCAGGGCCTAATCAAATTATCTCCATCCATTTTTTTAAAGGGCCCTTTTTGTAGAGACACACACACGTAAACATGTGTATACATACACATAGAATTGAGTGTTTCCATATGCAAATTTTATGGATTCACCAATCCGAAAAAACCTTCGTTCTGGTTTCCTGAACTTAAATGGAGATGCAAGTTTAGGATAGATTGGAACTGTGCAGTTTTTGCTTCCCCATCCTGATCCACAAGAATTTCAAATGCCTGGACCTGTATTTCTCCTTGGACATGTATTTTATTTATGAAACTTGTGTGTTTTGTATTCAGGTTTGAATCTCTAACACTGCATTTGAAATTCAGCCAGTTTTAACCTTAAGAATAATGAGAGAGTTCTGAAAAAATAAGCTTAATGGTAAACAAATTAATTGTTTACAATCAGCTTTTTCATAAATTATCTCACTGTTGAACTCAATGAAATAGAAAAGACTTTTATTCCCCATTTATAGATGAGAAGGCCCACTTAACAGGATTTATCCCATTTTATAGAACTAACATTCAGGTCTTCCCTATCTGACCCAACCAGCAGAATTTTTGTATCCTAGACAGGGCTTTGTTGTAATCACTTGGTTGGTTGATTGATTTTTGCAATTCAGAGAAAATATTTTGCAACTTGAAATCTATAGGATTTAGTTTTATATTGGCCAAATGTGAAAAGAATTCAGACAATGTGTCAGATGAAGCACAAAGCATTTCAACATGTATTGAAATAGATCTTGAGATCATCTCACCAGTTCCCTGTTTTTTGAGTGAGTATAGGACCTTTGAGGTGAAACCTGAGTCCTGACTTTAATTACTGCGTCAGGTTGCCTTCTTCACGAGATGAAAACACTGCTATCTCATAGGTGTGTTTGTTATGGAAACAAATAGGAGGTTGTTTGTACTGCTTAGAATAAAGTTACCATTTATAGGCAGGGGCAATTGAAACTACAGTCTACCATTTCCTTCCTTTCTTTAAATGTTTCACAGAAGATTAGACTGTTTTAGTTTGTGATTTTCTGAGAAAAACAATAATCCTAAATTAACTTGAAAATACTTAACAGGTGCTTATTTTAGTAAATTCATGCCACGAATGTTAGTATACTCCTATCAGTATGTAACAGGGAAGTTTGGACATTTCTACAAAACCATCACAAAGCATGTAAGTTGGGTGGTTAAGATTTTATTTGAAAAAAATTTTTTTAATGTTTATTCATTTTTGAGAGAGACAGAGACAGAGTGCACTGGGGGAGGGGCAGAGAGAAAGGGAGACACAGAATCCAAAGCAGGCTCCAGGCTCCAAGCTGTCAGCACAGAGCCCGAAGAGGGGCTTGAACTTGTGAACCGTGAGATCATGACCTGAGCCGAAGTCGGATGCTTAACTGACTGAGCCACCCAGGTGCCCCTAAGATTTAATTTTTTTATTTTGATACAGATTGCTAAGGACAGCAACAGAGAGCTGCTTTGACTGCAGAATAAACTGCTTTCAATGCTGCTGTTGAAGTATTCATGAGGAAATTTAAAGCTGACTGGACTCTAGTAAATCAGCAAAGCTTTTGCCTACCTGGCTTGATTGACAGTTTTAACAAATCTTTTGATGCTATTTTACAGTATATTGCTTTGTTGACAGCAAAGTGCGCTTAAAAGTAACATTTTCATTATTTTTTAAAATGTCAAAGTTGAAGATAAGCAAGTTACAGTAAAACCTTGGATTGTGAGTAGCTTGTTCTGGGAGTGTTCCACAAGATGAGCAAACATTTCTTTAAAAAAATATTTTTTTAATGTTTTATTTATTTTTGAGAGAGAGAGAGAGAGAGAGACAGTACCAGCGGGGGAGGGGCAGAGAGAGAGGGAGACACAGAATCCGAAGCAGGTTCCAGGCTCTGAGCTGTCAGCACAGGGCCCGATGCGGGGCTTGAACTTGTGAACTGCGAGATCATGACCTGAGCTGAAGTCAGACGCTCAACTAAGCCACCCAGGCGCCCCAATGAGCAAACATTCCTAATAAATTTTAACTTGATAAACGAGCGATGTCCTGCAATACGAGTAGTATGTGATGCCAAATGTCACATGATCACAACTGAGCCAATGGTTCTTCTCTCTGTCTCGGTGACGGATTGTGGGTGATCATCTCCTTTGCTCATATGCTCAGTCTCAGGCCACAGTGTTTAGCAGATATCCGTGATTTTTCAGAACATTGGAAGATGCCCACAACTGGCACTAATGTATTTTTTGTCACTTCAAAGCACCTACAGACAGTCCCTTGCTTTTCCATGCAAGATTAAATTTAGGAATACTTTCCTTCATTCTAGATCAGGCTGCCTGCAGATAATGGACCCTCTCCTCTGCTGCCTTATTGCCGTTACAGTTAATACTGTAGTATTAATACTGACAAGAATTTATTAATACTGTACTCGAGTAAGCATCCCTGTGAGCATGCAGAAAAAATTCCATTGAGTCAATAGATAGCAGTGATTCCCCTAATGATAGTGAAAGCTGTCCTGCAGGATAACCCTCCTCTCTCATCTCCCTCACACCAGCCACGAAGGTTTTCAAAGGTCAGTGCAAGTTAATTTGTTTACTTTTCTTTATATTTTGTATTTCCTTTATTTGTATTACAGTAGTATAATCATTTTTTATGTGAATATTTTTGGGTTGTGGAACGAATCATCTGAGTTTCCATGATTTCTTATGGGGAAATTTGCTTTGATATACAAGTGCTTTGGATCACAAGCATGTTTCCGGAATTAATTATGCTCGCAAACCAAGGTTTTACTATATTTGTATTGAAAAACCCCACTATGAGAATTGGGCATTGGAACACTTTTGGAATTATATTCATTCCCATCACCCTTTCTCCATTCTTAATGTTCAGAAGTTAACACAAGTGGTAATTTTTCCTCCAGATTTTTTATGTGGGTAGATTTTGAACATTACATTTCAAGTTTTGTTCCCAGACAGCCCCCCTCCCCCACCATCATTTAGGCAAATTATTGGTTTTAAATATATTAAAACCATTGAGTTAGAAGTATGTTATTAGAATTTCACATATAGTCATGTTATTACTTATAACTTTTTTTTTTTTTTTAACGTTTTATTTATTTTTGAGACAGGGAGAGACAGAGCATGAATGGGGGAGGGTCAGAGAGAGGGAGACACAGAATCTGAAACAGGCTCCAGGCTCTGAGCTGTCAGCACAGAACCCGACGTGGGGCTCGAACTCACTGACCACGAGATCACGACCTGAGCTGAAGTCGGCCGCTTAACCGACTGAGCCACCCAGGCGCCCCACTTATAACTTTCTATATGGCATGATAGAAAATAGTCTTGGGACATTCTCTGTTAAGTTCTGTTGAGGCCTCAGATACTGTCATATAGGTAGGTTGTTTAGCTTTTTTGTTTTATAAATTGGCTTCTGAGAAGCATTGTATTTGGAGAAGAGTCCACTGCTACAAATAGTGTGAAACCTCTGATTTAAAATAGCTTTGTTCCTGTTTTTTTGCAGTTGTTTTGATTAAAGTACAACTGTAACATAATGTTAAGAGCACAAGCTCTGGATTCAGAGTGGGTTTAAAACTTGGTTCCACCACTTCTAATTATGTGAGCTTGGATGAGTCATTTTATCTCTGTAAGCCTCAATTTCCTTACCTGTAAAAATAGGATGATAATATCTTACCCGTAGTGTTGCTGTGAACATTTAATGAGATGAGCAGTTAAGCAGAGAAAA